CTTTATGTATTTATTTTATCGGTAGATATCAAAACTGACTAACAAAATTTTTAGATGATATAAAATTTTTTGATGTCCACTGTACTCACAGTTTCCATTTACCCGCCACATCTTTAACTGAAATAAAAAAACATATGTGTATTACCCTCAGTAGTTGTGTCAGACGACTTGCACGAACTCTGCTAACGGACTGTTAGATTTTTTTTTTTAAATAATAACCCTTTTAGTGGCAATTATCGCTTACTTAAAGGTGACAGGAACCGCATTTTAACCATCTTTGGATACTTATAATTATCATGAAGCAAGTACAACATCGAGAAAAATTTGATTGTGCAGTTCTTTTCCTTTTAATTTAATTTTGGCTACTAGGAAACTCAATTGTACGCAAGTATTGTTAGGTCTTGTACTCTCTGGTGGTAGTGATACTCTCGCGGTTTATTTGTACAGGAGCTTAATGATGTGAGTTTCAGTCTTCCTTTTACTCATTATAAAAATTACACAAACAATGAACCGCGAATATAAAAGCATTCTTCTTGGATGACAAATAAAACTTTAAATTTGAAGAATAATTTCTAACTTTTTGTACACGTTTTTGCATAACAATTTCAGAAACCGCAGTTTCGGAATATGGTTTTTGCCTGGTTTTATATAACAAAGTGTTAGTTTTATGACTTTTGCATTATGGACATACGTAAGTTTATTTTTATGTAATAAAAAATTGCTATAAACACATGAGTAATATGAACTTCCCAAGATGAAAACTGTTTGTTGTTTAGGTGGATCAACAAATAAATTTAAAAATTACTGCTTGTGTAACAAAGTATGAAACTGTTTACATGGTATTTCCTTCACATGACATATTTTTGTACACAATTGTTTTACAAACTTGCAAGTGACGTCATCAAACATTTACAATGGAAAATTTTGGGGTGACACCTTCATATTGTTGGTTGGCACGATTTGACAAAATTTCGTTGGCATTTTACTTTCAGTTCGCAAAGACAATTTAGAAAAAGTCCAGCAAAGTTTCTTAATGATATTGCAGATTTTAAATCGGGGCTGCCTTACTACACAACCAATAATTTTTCAGTAAAGTAAAAATTTTTAAATTTAATTAATTATTGTTATTATTAATGTCCGACAAATTCGTCGCAACGCCGCTTTTTGGTCAAATTTCCGCTACGTATGGCAACAGTGAATTTTCAAACAAAATTTGTTCATACCAACTGAAATAGTACTTATTGATCACGCTGTATATAATTAATACATGCTTAATTTCGACTTTTTATGTTTATACATCAAAAGGATTCGACTATTAAGCACATACAAATGCTGATTGATCAGAATAAGCCTCAGCGGCAGATAAAAAGTCTGCATTTTTGTGTTAAAAGAAAATAAAATTTGATTGATATTGTCTCCTGAAAACACAGGAGCAAAACGTTTGCAATATTATTGGGGGGGTGCATGTAGATATTTTTCGATACGCCACTAACCTGACTGATGAAACGTTGAAAAGACATGAAAGTAGCCATTCGTCGAATAGACCCGCTTAAAATGCCGGGTCTAAAGTTTTAGGCAGAATTTTTCTCGCCAGTTAGTATTTCACGGCGAGAGATTCTGTCTAAATGCAGCTTCTTAGAAAAATCATAACATTTGGTTTTGAGAAGTTCAGTTTTTACTTCCCGGGTATAAGCTAAAGAAACATTGTAAGAGGGTCCATCTGGCGCATGGCTGGTTTCGTCGTTTCACCACCGAGTGTGAAAAATCTGTCTGACAAAATTTTTGTGATCATCCGCACCAACAATTTGATGACGTGAACTCAAAAGTTTGCTTAGTAAATGCTATTTTAACTGTATAAAATAACACATTCCTGTTTATTAATTCTGGCGAACGGGTACTTTAATATTTTCTCGATGTTTCGTGGCCCCTTTCCGTCGATCTGTCGTATGTGTCGATTTTTATTAGACAAATAATCTCCGAAACTACTGTTTCCACAATTTGCTGATATTTCTTTTTAGGAAATGTCATTTAAATTTTATAAAATAACGGATCTACTCCTGTCTTTGTGTTTTATGTATCCGCATTAAGTTGTTACTCGAGGCATAAAAATTTTGGCAAAAAATTCAGACTATATTATCACAACGCCGGTATGCGCGTCGATGTCATGGCATAAGGAATAGAAGTGCCAACCTCGAGAGCCGGAATGCGAAAACTGTCGCGCATTCGATTCCGACTCCGACCTTTCTCTTTACTTCCCAAGCAAAAGCTAAGGAAGTATTGTAATTGGATCTACTCGACAAATGGCTGCTCACATGTTTTCTCGAAGTTTCAAGATCTCTAGAGTACGAAAAAGGTCTCCCGTTTCCATCAGCCTGCCTGTCTGGCTTCTGTTCGGATTTTCTTAACACGGAGTTATCATAAAAAAATCGTAAAATTTAATTTTATAAACTTTCGAAGAATCCGTATTTGTTCACCGGTACTTCAGGGGCGAAGGAAACTCTGTCGAAATAAATAACTGGCGACTAATTTTTTTTTTATTTCTTACACTTGCTTTTGTCTATATTCGTTTTTATATATAGAGGTTATCACAAATAAAATGTTGCAAAATCAAATTAATTGTATAATTTTTCAAAGAAGCGGGACGTGTTGGACAGTACTCCTTACGGATTTTTTCAGATTGATGCAGATATGAATCCAGGTAATTTAGAGAAAAGTTGGTCTTTATTAGGGCGAATACACATAGGACAGAATTGTTCATCGTTGCAAAATTATTTAAAAAATAAACCGTTTATTTATCTGTATTTTTTAATGTACGTTGTTTTAATTTTTGAAAAAACAAATATGTTCGATATATTTTTTATACATTAGTTGTTGCATGATTGATGCAAATCAGCATGGATTCGTAAATGGTAAATGCACTCTAACCAAGCTTGCAATTAATCGTAATATGTGAAGTGATAGATAAACACAGACAAGTAGGCTGCGTTTACACGGATGTTTCAAAGATTTTCGATTGTCTAAAATTCCAAATCATGATCTCCTTACAAAACTGGACGTTGACAAATGGAGAAAAAATAATTGCTCACCACTAAATTATTGCAAATATGTTATGACTTAAGCAGAGGGCTAAATACGTGTCGTTTTGATTATTCTGTCATCTGTCATATAATAACACTAAAAAAGTTACAATTTTCTAAGAGATCTGTGGATCATATTTGATCCACAACTAAGTTTTACGTAACATATTGATAATATTACATCTTGTGGTAATAAGCCTCTGGGTTTATAATACAAAACTCGAAAGAATTTTGTACAAGGTTGTTCCTTCCCCATTAAATTCTAAATGTTTTCGTGAATCAGTCAAAAGTGTGACTGTTGGAAAGTAATTTTTTTTTCGTTATATTGCCAAATTAGTCGTTGCAGCTCTTTTCCAAATACATAATTTAGTGACGATAATTTTCTCTGCAGTTGTGCGCCTGACCTACACAAATTTTTTAATTAACAAATATTTAAAAACTTTATAAGTATCTTTTTTCATTTGCAGATAGCACTTTTTTATTGAAATTTTTTGTTGTAACAAAATAATTTTCGGTATTTTAAATTTTAATGAGAAATCAGAAATGTTGCAACTTGATAATATGATTTGTAAATAACAACAAATGTGGCAAATCAGCTTCAAGTGAACGTCAGTCTCACGCACTGACAGACAAACCGTTTTGTCAATGAATGAGTTTATCCAACGTGAAGAAAAAAATCATAGATCACTTCTGTCTAAAAACATTCTGAACGGTTTGTAGTTGTGTAGTCGATCATTGTTAAGTCGTAATTTTAGTTCGGCATGTTGGTGTCAGCATTGTTGTCGAAACAGGTTAATACTCATTAAGTTTTACGTTTTTGGAGTGTTTTCATTTCTATGACTCCGAATAAGAAAGATTCGTTTTATGATATATGTTTGCTAGACTAATTTACACCATGATGTTTTAGATTGCCAATATTCGATCTACGGCAGTTAAAATTAATGCAAATAAACACTTAAGTAGTGTTTAATTAACGATAATGTTTTTGGGTGTTTCAGAAAGTAGAAATTCTGAAACCGTACCTTCTAAAGCTGTTTTTAACCACAACTTGCGTGGAACATTTGTCTTTATCACATAAATGTAGTAGGTTGATGCCTAATTTTAGGAAATACATTTTCTGCAAAGCCCAGTAAAATGTTCAGCATTATGTTCTTTCGTATTTCCTGTAAAAAATCTAACAAATGTTTCATGTTCTTTATTCACTAGCATAGTAGAACCTAACTCGCTAACCAATAACTTTGTCAGTTTCGCTGTATGGCAGGATTCAATGGCTCAGAGAATTCGCGTCAGGTGGAAATATTAGTTTCATTAGATTAGATATTTTTATCAATTGTTATTTACTTTGTCGTCACCTTATTGAAATCTCAGGGAAATATTTATCTCTTTCTTCTTGTGTTTGTATCTTAAATTTTTTATAACTCTTGTCTTATCTTCTTTAAAGCAATTAATCTAACACCGTCTACTGCTTTTCAAATTTCTGTTTGCAATTTATGTAGGTAGTCTTTACATTAACTACTCAGTCAAGTTCTAATAGGCATAAACTTCATAATAAATGAATGATTTATTAATAAAAAATATTGAAAATTCGAATACGGCCGACAGTTCCGATTTGATTTGATTTTTTTCTCGCTTGACGATGATAAAATTCCCAAGGTTAAACGAATTTATGCAAAATTACTAGGTATAAATCTTTTTTTATAAAAAAAGTACCTCGGACATCACCAGTTATTTTGTCCCAATTTTAAATTTCGGTATGCCATTTTATGTTCTTTTTTTTATCCAACTAATCAGTTTGTATTGTCCTCAAATGTGCAGTACATGACAGAAAGACTTCCACAAAAAAGGTTGCACATTTTATAGCATTTAGAGATTTTAAGAATGAGAAAATCTTAAAGTACTAATTAACCCATTAACAATTTTCAGATTATGTGCAGATTTGGAGGAAGAAGAACTCAAAAAGTAAGGATATTGTTCTTTTCCAAGCGGGAATTAAAATGGCTGCTACACCAAATATGAAACTATTAACAAATGGATCACTTGAAATTTCAAATTTACATGCACAAGACACAGGCGAATACGAATGTAACGCAATGGATACGAAGCAAAATAGTCCAAAAATTCGACACAAAGTTATATTGAACGTACCTCCCCAAATTGAGCTTCTAGTAGCTAAGGACAATGTTACAATTGTACGTATATATTTAATTTTAGTGTATTTTGGGAAAATAATTTTTCATATTCCAGTTAAAAAATGGGGACATATTGATTCTAACTTGTAGAGCAAGTGGTTTTCCGAAGCCAGTTATTTCCTGGCATAAAGGCTCTTCGAGATTTGATATTCAGGGTGACGTTTTAGAAATTCCAAATGTTAAACATCATAATGCTGGTACGTACAAGTGTCTAGCGGACAATAAAATTGGAGAACCAGCTTTTAGCTTCATAAATATTAAAGTAGAATGTAAGTATAAAGTTTGTGATAAACATTCCATAAAAGATGTCATATTATAGTTAAGCCATCGCTAACTATCGAAAAAATGATAGTAAGTTCTGAAAATAACTCTGAAACTGAATTAGAGTGTCAAGTTCATTCAGAACCACGAGCTCAAGTGGTTTGGAAAAAAGATGGTATAAATATTGTGAATACCGAACGTATTCAGTTAAAAACGAAAGGAATCCAGCATAATTTAATATTGAAAAATATTCAAGATTCAGATTTTGGTGTTTACGTTTGTTCAGCAACAAATTCTCTCGGAACTTCCGAAAAGAGTATTAGTTTAGTGTCGACTCCAGCTATATATCGATTTGTCGTGTCTCAAACCGACGGTAAACCTGTGTTAACATGGGAAGTGCAATCTAAATCAAATCTTTCATCGCATGAGTTGGTATATAGAAGACAAGGGGTAAATAAGAATAATTGCGTTTCATTTTAATGCTTAGTCTCGACGTTCTAGGAAAGCGAATGGGTGAAGGTCCATCCAGAGGACAAAATAGAGGTGAAGCCAATTGAGGATGATATCTATGGAGTTCGGTACACGTTTAACAAGGGACTTGATCCTGGGGACTACGAATTCAAAGTTAGATCTGAAAATCGAAAGGGGTGGTCAGAATATTTCAGAACGTCTGCTGAAGGTAATTTTTTTAAATTAACCAGTGGTGCATGTGAAAAAAGGCTTTTGTTTGATGCGAAAGAACACTCAAATTGTTTTTAATATTTTTGTAAATATAAATTTTTGAAAATCTGTTTTTTTTTGCAAAGGGAATTATTACTAGTTTAGATCGACAACCGTTTGTTTTTGCAACTTACAAAGTGCAAAATTAAGTTTGCGTTTTCATAAAGAGCTGCAGAATACAGAAGACATGGATGTTTAAAAGCTTTTTCGATCTATTAATTTGGCGGCATCCATGTGATATACTGGTACAGTATTAGAAGTTCCAATTTTTGGATATGTTGCAATTCTAGATTCAGTAGTCTGAGTACAGTTTTTGAGGCTATAATTAGTTGTAAATTTCTGCATTAAAATAAAAAAGCTTTATGATAATAATTTTAATATACTAAGTGTTTTTTAAAAATTATTCGAAAATATGTAGGTGAATCGTAAATAAATTAATTAAGTAAATCAATTATTAATAAAATAAGTCTGTATCATTGTGTGTAGAGTTGAGATTAGGGTTAGCATTATAGTTACAATAATTGACACTAAATGGCGACACCAGTCTAGAATGAGTCTCTTATTACCGCGTATGTTATAGTGCACCAACAAGACTAGTAGAGACTAGTAGTTTTACGATGTTAACTCCTTCACCACCCTTGTCATCGAAATACAGCTAATTTGATGTTAATTTATGTCAGAATTATAGAATTCCAAATTTAAATAGTTACTCTTTGTTGTATTTGGCTGGCACGCTTCACCTAAATAGTACTGGCTTATCTTTAGCTATACAACTTTAAGATGCTTTTTGTTCACAAATGAGGGAGTTGGAAAAGTCAAAGCCATAAAACCACTATTTTCGTTGGTACACTGTACTAAAATTTGTATAAAGTCAAGGCCCAAATCTGTATCAAAATAGTCCAAATTTTAAGGTTGCCAAAAATAAACAACCAATCAGATTTATGAATTTAACTCGTTACTATGTAAATTTGCAATTTAACACCCTGACAACATGGAAATGTCAATTATACACAATAGTATGGATTAATAAAACACATGCGTTTTTCGCTCCGTTTTCTTCTATAAAAAAAGCAACGTCAACTTCATAACTGTTTCAACTGAACAGTCGTCATAAATATCATGCTGTCAATACGAATAATTCCATCTACCGCAGTTGTTTGAAGCCTGTACTTATCCAATGGTTTAATCAAAATCTACAGATGCTGCAAGACACTATGTAGCAGGATCCTATTTCAAATAAAGCAATTTTCTAGTACCAATAATTTACTTTTTTTTTTTGTAATTTTTATTTTGAGTGTTCTTCGTTGCTTGTTTGTTGTTTTTACACTGCTTATTAAATAAAGCTAACTTTTTTTGCACAGTTAAACGTGGGCATCACAAAACGCACAAAAAAGGTCATAAGCATGGAAAAGGTATATATTTTTATTATTTATTTTTTTAATAAATTCGTTGTACCATCTTCGATTTATTGCTTGTGTATGTACATACAAAATTGAGCAAAATAATACGTCATCCACTTACATCTTTCTTGTTTCTCTATCAAATCAGTTTCTTTATTAACAACTTTAAGACGGTAATATAAAAAAATTGTGGTTTTACTACATACGCCTAAAATTCAAATTAAATTGTAAATGAATACAGTTAAATAAGGTGTAGCAGATCGTATTCTGTATTGTGGTTTTAATTTGAGTAGACCTAAAAAATCCTTCAAGACCGAACCGTAGAGTTCACTAATGTAGGTTCAAAAATTCTTAATGTTGTTTATTTTTTATTTTCTAGAAACATTGAAATTTACTGTTCTATTCTTTGCAGACCTCTCATAGTTTTCAGTTAACTTCAAATCGCATGTTGTTAAAGAATTTGAATAAATAAAAAAATAATAAAAATAATAAGCATTGTAGGAATCGCATTTCTATGTCCAATACAACATTGATTTAAAACGTGCATGCTGAAAAAATTGAGAGATTTAATTTTCAAACTTTGTAGCTAAATGGGTTACAGTTTTTCAAAGAGACACAATTTTAATACGAGGCAGTTGCATTAGAACATTATTTTGAAAAATTGCATTAAAAATTTTCATTTCTCGTAATGTAGAGTGTGCTATGTCGTTTTTTTTATAAAGTTCTCGACGTCAACTTTTATATTGCACAATACTTCGAAACGTTCTAATGTTTAAATGTGAAAATGCTATCTAAATTTTACAATTTATTTTTCATCCATTACATGTTGTACTTCACTGCTTGAATTTTAGCGTATGTGGAATAAACTGCTCTCAATAAACTAAGAATAATTTATAGCAATAAGTAATTAATACTCCTATATTTTTTTTGTTAGTGTATATGTGGTTAAATGTATTTTTATTTTAGTTTTTATGTGATTGTGTTTATTTTCTACACAGAAAGACAAGTCACACCTACACCTACTTTACCTACACAACCCGATGTTCCGGCAGAACACCAAGAAAGTGAAAGTCAAAGTGGCTTTATTAAAGAATCTTCGTCATCAGGTAACCGTTCACATGTTATAATTGTTGTCGACAATTGTAAGTTATAACATAAAAATCATGTGACCAAATAAAAAAATACACAAGCAAAAGATAATTCTACAAGGCAAATGTATGCAATGAACGAAAGATCGGCATTATTTTTTTAAGCGTGCTTATGACTACTATTTTCGTTGATAATACGAAAAGTTTTACGAAAGATGAGAGCGTTCTCACTAGTGCTTTGATGATTATATGCCTTTGTTTTTAAAACATCGAATATTTCAAAACAGTAAGTCGTCGTTTATTTCTATTTCATAATAATTTTAGCAAATTGTGGATGCATAGATAATAATTATTGTGTCTTTCATTTATTGATGAAAAACTGCTCTATAGTAAACAAAGTTGACTCGTACCTAGTAAAACTTTACAGCCCAATTAACGGACAATAGCGGACAATTGTCCTCATTGTCATTGTCCGTTACGGACGTTGTTTTTCTAGGTACAAGCCAACTAAGTTTACTATATACATTTTACTGACATATCTAATACTAGGTACTACTAGTATTAGATATATAGACAACATGTAAAAATGTGACAAGTATGTGACATTAAAAGGTACTTACCCTGTTTGGTGATGTACTGGACTACTTCAATGGTAGTTACAAGCTTTGGAATATCATGTAAAAATTTTCTAAAGCAAAACTTGAACTAAAATCTTTTGTGCGAATCGTATGATGTAAAAAATTCAAAACAAGAAAAACATTAGCTATCCTAACTTTGGTCCTTTTTTGGCTGTACTTGTACCTCGTGTGGTATTGCCTCATAATAACATAAGTAACATAACCCAAAAATGTTTGTTTTTGTGTGTAAAACTGTGATTGTGAAAAATTTGATTTTCCGTATATTTTTTTATGGCTTCATCACGCATTCTGTTAAAAAATAACCGATAAGGAACACATTTTGGTCTAGAGGTTTTGCGGAGACGTTAAATTCTCAAAGAAATGGGCACGAGCTCTGGAATTTATTTTGGAATCTTGTCTTTCTACATATTTTCGTGTTTTTTGAATGCCTTTGATTTTATTATCTAGTTGGAACAACTTCAGTCCAAACCAAGTTAATATAAACGACAAAAAATATATGCATATATATTGATTCGAAATAAATTGACCCTATAGGTATAATCAATCAAACTGTTTTGGTCTACGTACAAACAAATTCATCGCACAATGTCCAAGCAACAAATGGGACCGACTCCCTACCACTCTGTGTAAATATCAAATATTATGTACGTATTTTCATGAAAATACTCGAGCGTATTATTGGTTGTGAGAATGAAAATTTTGGTTGTTAGATACATGCAAGCATTTCTCACTCGTTTCTTTTTTTGCTTCCCGAACGTAGGCGAAGGAAGTATTGTAATTGAGTCCATTGACCGATTGACTACTTCCATGTTTCCTCGACGATTCATGGTCCCAAGAGTATAAGGGGTTTCCCGTTTCCGTCTCTCTGTCATCTGTGTCGATTTTTATTGAATACTTAAACACATGATCTTCGAAAGTACTATAGATAAAAATGCATGTCAAAATGTGTTGCCACAGTTAAAGTCATTTTTAAATTTTAATTGAAATTCCTTGCTTTACTCGTGTGCCGTGCAGATTTTCTGAATTTAACTTTTAAAGAACACTACAAATTTGCTATTACTTATTAACGAATAATAGCTCATATTTAAATTATTGTGACAGAAGGAGAAAAACAAAACTTTTTTTTCTATAATTTGACAAGCAAAATTCCTTTTCCATGATAAACGCTTGGAAGTTACAAATTTTAATTAGTTATGTGTACTAAGTTTATTTTTTATATTGTTCAAATCCACTGCACTGTAACGTCAAGACATCTACAAATTATAATAACATGATTTTGTTGATTTTTTTTTCAGCTCCTGAAACGTCAGATTCGCCTTCCCTGACTCCAGCAAATTTACTTCTTAGCGTAGCTGTATTTGCAGTTTTCCAAATGAGGTCAGTATGGAAAAGGATATAAAAGTACGTCAAATACCAAAATGCAACTGGGTATAACTTTCAGCACACTTGTCGGTAGCTTAAAAGTGTAAAACCAAAGTATTTAAAAATTAGTTTTAAGTAAGTTATAAAATACAATTACTCTTTTAATAATTAAACTTTTTTACCGGAAGTTTAGTTACTGTACATATGCATACATACCTATTATACGTAGAGTTTGTAAATTTTTGTGTTCATTTACTGAATAGGAAAGATCTTCGTTAAATTTATCCAGTTCATCAAAAACAACATTAAGTGCTACAAAATTTTACACATTACATTCTTTTTTTGTTCTTGTACTGCCTGTTCTCGACAATCTTGAATGCCATAAAACGCCATTAAATTTTGTATACTAAAGTAAAATGTACCATGGTGAAAAATCAAAAAGTTAGCCGTGACTAACTCAAAAAATATAGAATAATATTACGCAATGTAGCTTTAAGTTACCTGTATTTATTTAATTTCTATTGTTATCGTAATTAACACGTAGTAAAAAATTTTGGTCAGTATTTATTTTAAAAATAATCTCGTATAAATCAATTGAAATACTAAGATTTTGATTTCATTTAAATATTCGATTGAAACTATGAGTTTTACTTAAATTTTTCATAAAATTTTAAGCAAATCATCAAAATTGTAGCTTGCCTCTAGTCCTTTTTTTATAAAATAACTTAAGTACGATTTTATGTTAATATTTCTGAATATTGTTGACGTATTAATGTAATTTACATAACTTTGAAGTGATTAGATACTTAAAATAAAAGTTATGTAGAATTATTTTTTATTAAGTTCTAGACAAAATGTAAATAATTTGTGTGATGTGGACATGTATTTATAGTGACTCCTGTTCTATTTTTTATTATATTTTTCTAAACATACCAGAATGCCTACAAAGTTCCCTATCAAATCAATTTTTTTTCCATTGTTATGATTTGCAACTGGGGAACTAGAAAATGCCTTACAAGTAGAGCCAAAAAAAATCGATAAAATAAATCGTTGTTGCTTATTATACTTCTACATTTACGAAGAATTTTAAGTAGATCAACACATGAAAGAACAAAATTTAATCGATGACAGCATATCACGAAGTTTTTGAAATTTTTTTGTAGGTAGCTCATGAATTGATCTATTTAAATCCACCTTTGTAATTTTGATGTATATGAATGTATAGATTAAATGAAACATAACATTACTAATGTTTTTTATTGATATCTACCATTTTGATTAGAAAATCCATCGTCATGGTCCTTTAGGTAAGCAGAGAAAAATGTTGTGCCTCGGTGGGATTCGAACCCACGTCTCCATGCATTCCGGGCAGGTATGCTGACCACTACACCACAAGACAACTTATCTTTACTCTGCTTACCCATGTGTTATTGTGTCGCTACAGTCCCAAGTTTAAGATCAAAATCTGTGGCAACATTTCGAAATTAAAATTATCAAATTGCACAATATTTTTGATAAAATCATTTGGTGTACATTGATAGTGCTTCCCTGCCTGGCGTTCTAGATTCGAAGCATAAAGTGATACTTCTGAATTCATCAAAATTATGCTGCGAAAAAACCCGACGGCGCAAGAAAAGTATTCTGGTGATTTCAGCAATTATGATCAGAATTAATAAAATTTGGTAAACGAAATCCAGTACCCGTAGTTTATCTTTGTCAAAAATACGACAGTTTGAATGGATTTAATTTTTTTTTTATCCAGGTCATTTCAGTTTTTACGCTAGTTATGAAGTTTATTATGTTACGATTTACGTGTATTTTAAACCGGCGTGGGTAAAACTCAACAATTTATTTCACAGTAATACAAAACTACGCGTCTAACTATGCAACGATTATGTACAGAATAACTCTGACTTGACTGGAATGGATTTGATTATACTCAAATTCTCTCATTGAATGGACTAGCCTGGCCGTTGTCGGCGGTGGTCCGTATTTAACCAGCCACGCGCTCTTTTCTAGATATTTCGTGATCGAGCTTGTTCTGGAGTGTGCATAGCGACTTTCGCTTCCAGGCCTTTATTATTTATAGGCTTCCTAGCAGGCCCACGAATGGGTTTATTTCGCATCACTGCCCCCTTTTTAATTCTGATCGACCTGATCAGAAACGTCAACGGTGTTACTGTTGTACTTCATGAGGCGGTCTGAGTGTACAATCTAAATTTTCGTCTTCGGTCCTTGTCGAATCATGTAAACGCCATCGTTGATCTTCGCCGCGACAGTATATAGACCTTCCCCGTCTCACCCCGGTAAAATCACTCCGTAACTTTAGAAACGTCATGATGTTTCCAAAATGATCACCAGAACCACCGTTGTGCATTTCTAGAAGTGCTTCCTTAATTCTGAAGGCCGGAACCACCAACTGCATTGTGACATGCCTCCCATCCGGATTTTTCCAAGCTGGCTTATGCAATCCGTTCTCGACACGCAGAGAGTTCCAATGAGCTCATAACACCTTAAAAGAAGGTGAGTCGTGTGATATTTCCAACCAGCCAGGCCGTTCCTTCCCATCTTCTTTCCATCTCAGGAGGAGCTCAATATCTACGTGTTTCTCCTGGTCTTCTAAACCGACATGTAGTCCATTCATCATCTTCTACGATTTTGTTTTGCGCCGATCAACCTCGTCGCAATGTTTGCAGTTCTGACAAACGATTAATATTACGAGCCCTAACAACTAAATGTTCGGACAAGTATTCTTTTATACAAAAAGATGTAATTTAATGAAAAAAAATGTATTTTACAAAAACAAAACTAGAGTAATATGTAAGTAGGTATCTTTAATGCAATATTCTCAACAAAAATTGTAATATTATTAACTTAACAAAATTATAACACAACAAGAAGCTGATATGAACGAATAAACTTGGCAACTAAATATTCGGACATGAGTATTTTTTTTTACTTAGTATGGTGTAACATCTCCTTTTGCTTTGATTACTGCGCGTATCCTTGCAGGCATAGTACTTACAAGACTTCTGCAGTATTCAGGAGTAAAACTTGCCCAAACTTCGTCAATTTTTGCTTTTAAACCTAAGAGTGTTCGTTGGGGGTTGTTGCGCAAAACGGATTTTATGTCGTGCCAAAGTGTCTCAACGACATTTAAGTCAGGGCTGTTCGCAGGCCATGAAAGGACTTTTATATCATGATCCCCAAACCATTTCTTAGTACTTTTTGCGGTATGACATGATGCACCGTCCTGTTGAAAAATATAATCGTTGTCCGGATACAGTTTTTCAACAGAGGGCAACAAACTGTTTTCTAAAATTTGTTGGTATTTCATGGCGTTAATAGTCGTTTCCACCAATTCATAATTCCCCAACCCTTTAGCTGACATGCATCCCCACACCATTATTCCTTTAGGAAACTTTACAGTTCGTTTTAAACAGTCTTTATTGAATGCTTCACTTTTTGATCTTATCACTCTTTTCCGCAAATCTCCCACGCACACATCAAATTTTGACTCGTCACTAAAAATGACCTTTGACCAATCTTCCATGGTCCATGCCAGCTTAGACTTTGCCCAGTTGTACCTATTTTTCTTTTGATTTGCCGTTATTAAAGGTTTTTCTTTGGCCTGTAACGGCACGGTGGAACAAATGTAAAACAAAAACTTAAAAATTACCTTATAAAAACTTAATCCTGACTTGTGAATACATTTCCTACAACATTCTCGTGTCAGCTTATGCCCTATTTCATCCGTCCATTGTGCTGTTATGTCCCGCAATGTGTTTCTTCGATTTTTTTTACAAAGTTTTACAAGGAGCCTTTGACTTCTTTCTGAAACTAATTTCGGTCTTCCTGAACTTTTTCCTTTAACGTCTAGTCCACCAGTTTCGCGATAATGTGAGATTATATCCGCTACAGTGGACTTTGCTAAATTCAGTTCTTCACTAATTTCCCGAATTTTTTTACCTTGGCAATACTTCTTTACAATAAGTGCACGTAATGATTTTTCAAGTGGACGTCCACGAACCATTTTGTTAAAGAATATATATATATTTCTATGGATCTTACAACACAGTTAGGTAAAGCAGGAAGAGGAGAATGATATTTATTAACAATCAAACAATTCACACCGCCTACTTTGTGAAAATTAATTTTTTTATTTATTTGTCCGAATAATTAGTTGCCAAAGTGTATTCACTTTTTCTGAAAAATCCACAGTCATATTTGAATTAAAATTCTATGTAAAGTAAAACATTCAACTTTTTTATTAAAAACTATTCTTTGAAATCTTAGCTTCCAATTTTTATGTGATTTGATAATAAAAATTAATTCATAAAAGAGTGGTTTTTGAACGCTCCGGTTAGTTTGTCCGAACATTTAGTTGTTAGGGCTCGTATAGGCTTCACTTCAATACAACGCTGATTCAGCACGAATTCTTCATTTCCACGACGTAGGATTCCTTTCATTGGGTCAAACCATGGCAGCTAATCAAATCTATTCCCAGAATGAAGTCATTTTCCATGGTAGCCACGACAGCCCGATGACTTATTCTCAGCTGACCAATGTTTCACCCATGATCGGCGTCGATTCTCGAGTCACAGTTTTCAAGCTGATCGTTTCGGGTATAGATTCTATATGTTCAGCTCTCACAAGTCCTCTACGTATAATTGATACCTCAGCGCCAGTATCGATCGTAATGGCTGCGGGAGTTCCGTTAATCTTCCCCGATATAACTGGACTACTGCCTCTAGTCAAACTTCCTATCTTCACTTTCCTGTGGGCGTTATTATCACCAGCCAGAACATCCCCCAAAGTACTGGCTGTTTTTAGTTTTCTTGTAGATTTTGGTGAGGAAATCTCTGTTGTATGTTTCGTGATCGAGCACGACAATCGCCTTTGAGATGTGCCTGGCCTTATCGTTTTCTTCCGGCTCCAATTCTACCACTCTCACTTTGTAGGACATTCTTTATGAATTGTACGCCGCCTCCACTTCCAGCATACGAATCAGGGCATCAGATGATGCGTGATACCTTGATACTTGTAGGATCTTCTTAACTTCAACGTCGCGATTGTCATTTACAAAGGTTTCTGTCGCCAGCCTCTCTTGAAAAGTTGGTGGTCTGTTAACATCTGGTTCAAATTCTTGTAGAGATTCCCCAGTTTTCTGTGTTCTTGTTTGTACTTAGGCTGCAAAAACTTGTTTCAGATGTTCATCTCCAAATCGAAGTTCTAAGAGCAGCAGTTAAGGCACCGTATTTGTTTCTATATTCTTCGGACAGAGTTGGGGTACTTATCTCCAGCGCTGCAACTCGCACAGCTATTACCGAGGCTGTCGCTTTTTGCTCTCCTTCCCAGAGATTTGCCTTCGCTGCTGCTTCGAATTGCTTCTTGTATGATGACCAAGGCATCTGACCATCATAGGTGGGTGGTTTAATTGTTTTGGAGGTCGATACCATATTATATGAACCAGATGTTTGCTGCATTTTATATAATTTTTTCAAATTCCTTCATTTTACTATCCATTCGATCTTCCATTTTGTTTTCCACTCGATCTTCTATACATTACACTGATACTTCTAACTCACTCTTTAACTCATGCTCCATTGAAACCATATTTCCACCTACAATATTTTCCAAATTTGTTTTTACGTCCTTCATTTCTTCTTTGATTTCTTCTATTTCATTCTTGTTTGCCTTCACTCTTGCGTCCATTTTTTCCATTCTTGCGCCCATTTTCTCGCCAGTTTTTTCCATTCTTGGGTTCGTTCGTTCGCCTCTTGGGTCCCTATTTTCATTTATTAGGTAGTTTAGAAGTTTTCGGTAGGTTTACACCACTACAAGCACACTTCCGCATCATCAACTATATAATATCATTTAAGTACATATATATCTATTTTTTATTCATCATATACCTTAATTAACTTAATAGCGAACTTGAATTTTATATGGGGTTTTTGTCAACCTGGAAGTCCATTCCAGTTGGTTTCGGGGGTAGTAGGAACGGAAGGCGGGTAGAAACCTGGGACCCATCAGCTGAGCATAAATCTAGCCATCAGCCCCGGCGACAGAACCAATAGGTAAGCAAGATAAAAAGTAGTGGTGGCACATAGTTGAAACTTGGATTGATCCCTACACCCAGTAATAAAACAGTGGTCAAACCAGTAAACAACACGAGGTAAACCAACTCCAAAAAGGCGAAGACCTTACCGTCCACCGAAAAGGTCATAGCGTCAGTTTTTTAAGTGCAAAGGAAATAATTCTGGTAGATTTTCTCTAATAGGTAAAAATTGTTACTGGGGAGTACTGTGGAACCCACTTAACAAAGTTGAAGGTGAAAAACGTCCTGGAAAGGCAAAAAAAGTGTTTTGTGCATTGAAGTCATATTGTCAATCAAAAATTGGTAGATTTATAAAGTTTTAAATTCTTTCCCATCAACCCTATTCGCTTGACCTACCTCCATCAGATTACCGTCTGTTCCAAAATTGAAAAAATTCTTAACGGAACAAACATTTCTATCAAATGAAGTGAATGACCATTTTAAGGGACTTAAAAAAACATTTCCCCGACGCAATCTTTAACGATGTGTTCCCATCCACCGCCGAACAAAGGGTGATCCCGTGCATCCGACGCACAAGTTCGGTCGCCCCTCTTCCAACAGCTGGCCACTGACGTCGCGTGACGTAACGATAAGGCTGGCTACAAATTCGGTACGATTTCCGCAGAATAGTAGAGTGCACCTTGGCATTAAACGGAAGACTTCCCGACATCCCCGAGGCGTCAGCCGGGGGATATTCCACTCCGCCTCCAGGCATCAAACGGAGGATTCCCATTCCGACCGAACATCCCCCAGGCAATAACCGGGGGATATTCCGCTCCGTCTCCAGGCATTAACCGGGGGATATTCCGTTCTGCCTCCAGGCATTAACTGGAGGATTACTGACTCAACTTAGCGTCACTTGGCTGTATCACGGCGTTCCGCCCCACAACCGCCGTCCACCGTTTATACCTAGATTCTATGCTTCAGCTGCTTATGGTTGTATAAGCTGTATTATTATTATTCACTATACTATTATTAATAATAATAATAATAATAATAATAGCATAAGTTGTATATTAAATAAATATTTTTATATCGCTAGTATTTTCTTCGAAGTCCTGGAAAGAAAAACAGGTTACAAATGAAGAAGCTTGAGAAACGTTGGGGTATCTGGGCTACCTTTTTCACCTTTTGAATTGTTTATTTTACTTTGAGACTTTTGTTCAACTCATCGTTTTCTCGAAGTTGTAGCTAACACTGAACACACTCCATTGAGCCCATAACGCCTTGAAAGAAGGTGACTCGTGTGATATTTCCAACCAGCCAGACCGTTCCTTTCCATCTTCTTTCCATCTGAGGAACGGCCCAATATTCACGTGCTCCTTCTGGTCTTTTCTAAACCGATCTGTCCATTCATCATCTTCTACGACTGCTTTCTTCCTGCGGCTGAACCGTTTTTTGCACTGATCAACCTCGTTACAGTGTTTGTAGTTCTGACAAGTGATCAATCTTACAGGCTTCACTTCAATATAACGCTGCTTCAACTTGAACTCTTCATTTCCAAGGCGTAGGAGTTCCTTCACTGGGTCAACTGTCATTCCATGGCGACCTGGCGACTAATCAAATCCATTCCCAAATGAAGTAATCTTCCACGCTGACCACAAGAACCCGGTGTCTTATTCTCAGCTGACAAAAAATGTAGATTTCTACCGATATGGTTCGCCCATGACCAGTGCCGACTGTGACGAGCTGTCACTAAATTCGTTCATGAGAAAATTGTAACTAAAAAGACGAATAACAAATCCCCAAAACATAATTCGAAAACTTGCAAATCTTAGTTAATTAACACGCATGTCCTAATCGGCATATAGTACCATTCAAATAGATAAAAAACTCAACCCCCACTCCCCGAATGCAGAAACAAAATTCGCGTATTCGCAAATTGCAAATAACATTGCGCTTGCCAGATGTTGCAAACAGCTTGTACAGAATAATACGCCATAAACATCGCCAATCACAATTACTTTCATCTGAAATTGTATCCAAACCACGGTTGTAGAATAGATAGGTTGATACACTAGCATGCATTTGCATATCCCTGGTCAGCGACGCCAATTGCCGATCGCGTCGCCTGGTTTTTGACGTTTTAGGGACACCAAGGCCAACTAGATTCATATCGCTTAGCGCTGTATAAGGCCTCGTCACTCCACTGAAAATTGGGTTCCAGGATAGCAAGCCATGGAATCCCGAAAGTGGTGTCATCTATTCTCAAATTACGATACTGTATTTGAAATGAAAACAAGAATCATGTTCGTCAAGATCATTATAATTATTTGTGATAATTACTATCACCGGTTCCACGCTGTAACAATTGTCATATCGAATCAATCTTTTGCTACTTTTGTGTGTTTTGGGTTTCTTGGTCGTTTGTTCTCGTTCTGTATTTATATTGTTATTGTTAAGGTTCTCTTGGCATTTTGAATGGAACAAACAATTTAATAAAAGAACGCTTGTATGCAGAACTACAAAATTTAAAACACCCTGCACAAAGATTGTGTTCCTTGATTATTGACGACATGTCAATAAAAGAGAAGATGATTTATAGTAGAGCAGAAAACCACATTTATGGACTGGATAGTAATTCAAATTCTATCGGTAGTTAACCAAAAATTGCAAACAAAATGGCATGTTTTGTAATTAATGGCTTATCAGCACGATTTGTTATTCCAGCTGGGTATTTTTTTCATTCCACATTACAAGCTGCAGATTTCCATTCATTAACTTTGCAAGTTCTCAAACTTCTGACAGACTGTGGATTTCTAGTTTTACGCATTGTTACGGACAATCATCCCTCTAATGTAGGACTGTTCAGAAATTTATGTGGAGGAACACTCAGATATTACATTGAGCATCCATTTCTTCCACCAATGCCTTTATTTCTTTCTTTTGATTTTTGTCATGCGATGAAAAATGCAAGAAACCTTTTTTTGCACCATAATATGAACTCCTCAGCTGGCATCATTTCTTCGTCCTATTTGAAATCCTTATATGGCCTACAAAAGGAATGGCCTGTGAAACCTGTCAGGTACCTTACCAAAAAACACCTATTTCCAACCAATCTGGAGAAGATGAATGTGTTGCGAGCTGTACAGGTTTTTTCACCGCCAGTTACTTCAGCGCTTAAATTATTAAAAGAAGATGGATATGATAATTTTATTGATGCTGATGGGACTATCTTATACATGGAAAACATGTATCATTTCTTTCAAGTGCACAATGTTTCAACTCGCAGGCACTACATTCATGCCCTCGATAGCACTGTTGCACCATATGTGAACGTTTCGGACGAACGCCTTCACTGGTTGAATGTGACTTTCCAACATTAAGTCAAGGATATTTAGTCTACTTCAAGCAGGACTGGTTATTCAGGCTTAAGCGACGAAACGGCACATGCTTTGTGTTTCACAGCAAAAAGCACATTTTTGTGCATTCAGTTTCTTCTTAAACAATCTGGATTTTATTATGTATTAACTAGATCATTTAGCTCGGACGCAGTTGAAGCAACATTTTCCCATATTCGCCTAAAAGGAGGCTCAAATGACACCACTGATGCTCGTGCTGCAGAATATGCTTTACGGCAAATTCTACGAAGTGGCATTTTAAAATCATCTTTATTTGCTAACACCGCAAGTATGTATCTTTGAATCAACTGTCTCATCAGAGAAATCAAACAGCAGAGGACCAACTTGAAGAACTACTTCTGCCTGCAGATTTACGTTACAAAATTGATAGTTTAAAACGGAATCAAGTACCTGAAAGTAACCTCTACTCTGCATCCATAGCTTTCTTAGCTGGATATGTAATTCTTAAGCTGCAACAAAAAATTCGATGTGATAATTGTATTGCACCATTAGTATCAAGTACAATACCTGGACCTCTGCTAAAATTAATAACCCTTCAAGACCATGGTGGCTTAATACACCCAAGTGAACTATTTGTGGGACTTGTAAAGCAAATAGCCGATGTCATCCAAGAAATTTTACCACACTTAAGTTTTAACAAAACATGTGACCACCTGATTAAGCTCTTACAACCAAAATTACTAAAAAATCCATTACTACCTTGCGTTGAACACCAACAAGACCTCAGCGTGATCATTATACTAACAGTAGCAAAACCGGTCTTGTCGAATATATGTCTAGAAAAAACAGATTCTTTAAAAAGAAAAATAATAGACAACAAACCCCAAAGCAGGAAACTATTGAAGCTTTAATAAATGGTTTATTCTTATTATGGTATTATTTCTTGCTTGTTTTGAGTTTCTATTTAACACTGACATCAACCACTTCTGGCAGTGACACTTGGTCACATCACAGTGACAGTGACACTTGGTGTTTGGTGGCATATCAAAGTTGTTTAAAATCCCACAAGGTTGCTCCACTTTCGGTACGTTTGATAGGAACTTTAAAAAGCGCGAGTGACGAGGCCTTATACAGCGTTTAAGCAGTATGAATTTAGTTGGCCTTGAGGGACAGAACTCTATAGGCATCTGTCTATAACCGATGTAATCGTGGATGTAATTAATAAAAGAAATCGTACTTATCGACTCCGATCAAATGTCATTTACAAATTTTTTCCACTAGTAGCATTACAATGGCTAATTGTCGACTTGTCTAGAGGTCTGTAATTTGGAAAATTGTGAACCTTGGTCAATAATGTAAACGTGAAGTTGGCCACCTAATGTGACAACTGTCCACAACTGTCAGAAAAACTGAGACATAACCTGAAAACGATCATTTTGGAAAATTTGCTTTTAAATTATGCCCTGGAATGATTTCCAAACCCTGAATTGATTATAAATTGAGGATAAATTGGTGAAACTAAGTTGATGAAGTTGATGGGAGTGAAAATGAAGTTTACGGGACTGAAACTGAATCATGGTTCCGATTTGGTTTGACTTGATTTGCCGTAGATGAGCTTTGGACGATTTCGGCGATTTTTTTTTTATTGAAGATCGAGCCGTCGTTGTATCCTTCTGCTATGCTGGAGGATTTCCATTCCCCGTGTCGCTTTAACGATAAAAGGTCCATACCTTTTTCAGCCAAATTTGTCGCGGTCGCGTAAGTACGACGGAATGAGGAGGGGTACATGATGGTTCACTTTACAACATTTTTCACACAAAAATTTATTAAAAACGGGAAATATGGAGGAAATTAAAACAAAAGTTCTGGACCATTTCTGGATTGTCAAAAAATAATAAAATTCCAAAGCTTACTAAAATGACGTGAGTACACGTTTTTATTGATGCACTTCAGAAAAAACATTTTGAAAATTCGCAAACCTCAAATGGGCTACTAGTGGAAAAAATAGTATATTAACCACGTTTGTGAAGCCAATTCTAGACCTCGCGCTTTAGAGCCCTCGACGCTGCGCGTCTCAGGTTCTAATTTGCGCTCGGTCTAGAATGTCTGTCTTCACAACCTTAGTTAATAATATACTATTGTATTGTTCATAAAGCAATGTTAACGAAAATCCCCAAAATAACTAGAACGATTTCCGCTCGACAAGGTAGAGGCGCTAGCTGTATGTGTCCTTTCCATGGATATAGGGATCGAAAAGAAGCGTCGCCATCCCAAGCCATTAGTGTACAAACCTATCTATTCTACAACCGTGATCCAAACTAAAACACCTGCAAACGAAACGCAGACGCATAAAAAAAACATCAAAGAACGCCGTCGCTTCAAACTTATTACGTCATCAACCCAGCAGTGCATCTGTGCACGCACACTCATCTTAGCCCTCGCTAGAATGATCCCCACTTCATCCCCGGAACTGGGATTTCACCAGCTTCCCATATTTTTACCATATAAGGAAGCGGACTTACCGATTGGTCGACGCATCTTCACATTTTCATGACCATAGAAATAGTACCACACAAAAGCACGGGTCTATTCCTGTCCAAAACGAAGGATATAAGTATATAAGGGTGAATTTCCAGCAGGACAGAGATTCAGTTTGAGTTGAAGTTCTGAGTTGCTGTCGAAGACGCTGCCGAAACCTGTGTCGACATTTTTACTATTTTTTGCTGAATTTTGAAGAAATCCGAACTTAGAAGAATTTGCTGAGCCCGAGAGGAAGACAGAAAAATTCTCAATGCTGCGGCTTTGTAAGTCTACCTTTTAGTCATTCTTGATTTATCTTGCTTTCCATTTTTTCGTCATGTGTTCTCGAGTTCGAATCGTACATGTGTAGCGTTTAATTTATGCGTTTTCGTCGTTACGTTGGGTGTGAACAGTTAGCGCCGGCACAGAAAGTAATCTTTAGTGCTACCACATGTTCCCGTTTGCAGGTGGCACCTTTGACTTTGCGTTGGTTCTTGATTGTTGGGGACGATTTTTCGATAAATTACCGTTCGTTTTTATGATAATTATTCTAATGTTTCCTTAATTTGCCGATTTAACTCTTTTGCTTGCGACATGAATATTTTATGTGCGTCTTTGGGAAGTTCCCGAATTGAAACCTTTTTAATTTAATTTTCTTGCAGTCGATTATTTTATGTTGAATTTTTACCGTTTCAATATGATTTCGTTCTCTGATTATTTAGCCATAGTATTTAGAAACCTCGCATTTTATTTTAATCTAATCGTCTCACTGTATTTTAGCGCATTTATGGTACTAATTTCCCAATATTTAGCTGCACTTATAGACTATGACTGTTCATTTTTGCATGTATTTAACTATCCTGTAACCGTCAATTTATATCGTGAGTGTTGCGCTCGGCGTATTTAGCTAATCAATGAATGTAAAAACTCATTTATCTCTCTTTTTACATGTTTATATTCATAAGTTGTCGTAGATTTAAGTGCATAATTTTAATTCGTTAATTTTAGTTGTTCTTATTATATCAGTGGAGATTTCTCCGAATCCACTGAATTATTGGTTTTATTATTATTTTAGCTATTTTAATGATTTAATTAACAGATAAATGCCCAAACGCAGTTTATCAAATAATTAAGTAAATACTCGATTTCATAGTTAGTAGTTTTCTAAGTTTGTTTATCACGCTCGTAATATTAATATTGTTTAGAAGGTATCGCTCTTATTTAGGGGTTTACCGAATTAATTTTAAGTTTTGCATGCTGATTTTTCTAGGATTAAATTTAATTAAAATCGTGGGTTATGTTCATAGATTTTAGTAAGAGTTTTATTAGTGGAATACAATTGCGTAGCGCTTTAGAAGATAGTTTTGCATGTTGTTTTTTTCGTGTTATGTGTGTAAATTTATTTTCATGTTTTATTTTTCCGTTCATTATTTACACATTTACTCGATTATTATTTTGATATGCTTATAATTCTTTCGTTTAATATATGTCTCAAACTGTTAGAAATGTTTAATTATTACTTCTTCCCCTACATGCAGTTTAGCTCTTCCATTTCCAAGGAAATGGGCCTACACCCAAATAAATAATTTTGTTAGTGTCCAAAAGCTCGGCCGCGGTCAAAACTATTTGGGCACGACACGACTATACAGCTACAATTTCCAGTCTGATCGTTTCGGGTATAGTTTCTGTATCTTCAGCTCTCACGTACCCTATAGGTACAATCGATATTTCAGCACCAATACCGGTGGTGATTACTACCGGAGTTCCATTAATTTTCTCGGTATAAGTAGTTGAACTACTACTTCTGATTAAATTTCTTATTTTCACTTCGTTGGCGGCTTTATTCTCACAAGGGAACATATTTCCCAGGGTACTGGGTCTTTTGATATCTCGGTGAGATCTCTGTTGTGTGCTTTTTCTTGGAACTGGTGATCGAGCACGATAGTTACGTTTGAGATATCCCTGGAGACACATCATTTACCCGTTTTCGAAACAGGCCGTTTCCCTAACATTTTTTTCCGATAACTTTTCTATTTTGTTGGTTTCTTCATTCTCTGGTTCTGCTACGCTGATTTTGTCGCATGTTGCTGTGGTACTGAAAGCAGCTTCAACTTCTAAACCGCGTATCAGAGCATCAGCTGATGTCTGGCCAGTGGCGGCTCGTCAGGGGAGGCAGGGGAGGCAGTGCCTCCCCTGGAAAAATTGACCATTAGTTTTTGTTTTAATATCTGTTAACTTCAAATATATTTTACAGATATAGCAAATAACTTTTATGGAACACTGTGATTCATTAAAACGCGTATTGGTAACATATTTTGAAGTACGCGCTTTCGACAGGAATAAGCGCTGATCATCGCCGTGTAGGCCAGCTTCAGACGGAGGCATGCCTCAGATAGACGGATATCTTCAGTATGATTAGTCAGTGGTGCTAATATGTTTTTGAGAAAGACAATAGTCATCAGTGCTTTATCAAAGCGCCAGCGGAGGCACCAACGCAACGCCTACCGTCCTTAAGCCAATCAGATCGAATTTTTTAATCTCACGGTGAAACTGCACAATGCTGAACAGGTATGCTGAATGCATTGAGTTAGTTGTGCATTAATTAGACGCGAGGAAAGGTATTGACTGCATGTGCATTGCCAAGGTTATGTATTAAAACTTTTAAGTTAACTTGAAATTGAAAACAGTCTGGACAATGAAAATGTGAGTTTTACAATGCTGATAGCAACATAAGAATCTATAATCTCCAGAGTTTCTTATAAAGTTTAAATATTTAAGCACGGTTTTCTTACGACGAACAATTGTATGTCAAAGATTTAGAACCTCTCATCCAGATTTAAGCAGAAATTTATTAATGAATTGATTAAATTAAATGATGATTAAATCAGCCCTAGATCATATGAATTAATATTTAATGTTAATAAAGCAAATTCTGTAGTCTTTACACCTTCTCGTTGGTTTGTGTCAAGCAATTTAATGTTTTTTCTTCGAGAAGTGTACCCATATAGAGATATGTTACTGACTCAGAGTGATTTGTATTGTTGTCATAAAAACGAATAAACAATCTGTCTTTTAACAAAAGTAATTGCCAACATGTTAATTAATACCTGCCGATTTTGAAACGAAAATGTTGCCTCACCTAACAAAAAGACCACGAGCCGCTACTGTGTCTGGCACCTAAATATATACTTGTAACATCTTCTTAACTTCAACGTCCCGAATATCGTTGATAAAAGTTTCTGTTGCAAACCTCTCTTGAATCGGTGGTGCGTACGCGTATGCTAAACGTACCATCCTTTTGACATCTGTTGCAAATTCTTGTAGAGATTTTCCAACTTTCTGTGTGTCCTTGTTTTAGATATTCATCCCCAAATTGCTTAATGCAATATATTTGCTTATATCTTTATCAGACAAGGTTTGAAGTAGATATCTCTAGCGCTGCACCTCGCAGAGCTATCACCAAGGCGGTAAGCCTTCAGTTCTTCTTCCCAAGAAATTGCTGTCACTGCTGCTTCAAAGTGTTTCTTATACGCTAACCAAAGTGTCTAGTTGAATTGTTCTGGGACCCGACGTCACATTACATGAACCAGTGGATGCTGCATTTTTTATTATCTTTTTTTTTTCTTCATTTTGTTTTCTATTCTATCTTCTATATGTTCCTGCACTGATTTCTCGACTTCTTTTACTTTTTTGTCGATTGAAACTATATTTCGTTAGACAATATTTTTCATAATTTCAAAATTTTATCTCATATCCTTCATTTAATCTTTAATTTCTACCATTTCATTTGTGTTTGCTTCGACGTCTATTTGTTAAAACTGAACAATTTATTTTTCGGTAATACAAATTTATACGGCTGACAATACCACGATTATGTATTGCGACTCAACTTAGACTCTAAAATAATTCTCTCATTGACTGGACTAGACTACACCCGTCAGTGGTCTCTATTTAACCAGCCGTAGGCTTCTGGAAAGACCCGGAACGTGGCTTTCGAGGTTGTTGTGGAGTCCACCATCGAGACAACTCCCCCGACTTCCAGGCTTTTCTTTATTCAAGCTCCGCTGTCACCCATGATGAGTCATCGCGCCATACATACTAGAAAAGCCATAGGCGTCGTACCGGGACGGCGTCTAGTGTTATTTCGTAACAATATGTATAGATGATCTTACAACATATGTACACAAAAACAGGAAGAATAACGATACGAAGATTAGCTCCAGATTGCAGAAAGAACTAATACGGTTGCCTATTCGTCTGGGTATGTTTAGGTCTGGAAAAGAACTTCGTTCATATTTCTTTTTGTTATGTCTAAACTTTATTATTGTTTTTGCAACCGCCTTAAAAAATGAATCTAATTTTTAACAAAAACAGTCACACTTGTTTAGATTTTGCAGAAAACTATTTAGGTACGTTAACACATCTCTCACCTTGCTCAGTAAAAGTTGTCAAGAACCTCTTACATGGTGATCCTCCGGACTCTCAGAATCCGTAACCCTACAGATCTATCTGCATACACTAAATATGTAGGTGTTAATTTTTTGTTCGGTTTACGTGAATCTCCTATTCTATAAATGAAACAGTACTAAGATTGTACATAGTTGTAATTAGTAATTATATGCGAAATTAATATGCAGGACTTTAAATATCCTATAAAAACTTACATACATACACTTACATAAGACACACTTGCCCGACATTTCAGGCTCTCATGTCCAAATTGAAAGCGATTCGAGTTACCAAATATTTTTTACAATTTCCTAAGAAACGTAATATACCCATTTACATAAATGTATAAAAAACAAATAATGTACACAACTACACAGTATCATCATCAGTGAAGAATTGCAGAAACAATAATAACAGAATGTATTTAAAAATTACTACAAGCTAACAGAGAGTGTATGATTATATACTTCGAAAAAAAATGAGTTTTTTAAAGTCTTATAGCCTTTCAACTGGGTTGCAATATTGGAAATATTAAAATTATAGCATATTACTTTTTTTTTCTCCTATTTTTATACCTCTATTTAATAACAGGCCAAATATACATATACGAGTACATGTAATTTTTTAAACTTACAAAAATATTTGCAAAAAAATTTTGGCTGCTATATACATTTGGTATAGTGGATGTACGAAGTGTACCAAGTTGAAATTGGTGTAACATGAACCCTTGAGGATATGGCATTTTTCAACCCAACAAAACCCCTCTACTATATACCTACAGCGACAGATGGTACCTACTAACCCCAGTGGGGAAAATTTGGATCGCTGAATGACGTTTTTTTACTAATTTTACTTAATTTAAAACGACAAAATGAGATTCGGGCACCACGATTACCGGCGCCCGGCTTTCCAAATGGTCGCATCCGCCACTGACTAACTAACATGAGCTCACCATAGCCTAATAGAAAACAATTTCAAGTACTTCTGAAACGAGGCCAAAAAAAAACATTTGTTACAAGTACCTAAAATACAGTTTTTGTGGACGAATCGTTGCTGTTTACGAACGGTGCGTAGCCAAGTCTAGAGAAAGTCTTTTACGTATGTTTAATATGTGTTACAAATATTTTTTAGTTAAGCTCCCAAAAACAGCAACGATTAGTCTGCAAAAACTGTGTTTTAGGTACTAGTCCGAAAAATAACTATTTTTTGGATTAAGTCCGACTTAAATGAGTCCGTTTGAGGGCACATAATAAAAACCGATGCATATTTTTTGTTATGGTTCCCGTAAAAAAACTGGTTTGAGTATTGATTATTAGAAAAAGTAGTTGCTTATTCGGAAAGTGCTTAAATTTTTATAAATCACAATTACGGCATACGAGGATATTTTTTAATTTGAACAATCATTATTTAATTAGTCAAAGAAGGCTGTTATTATATATCTTTAGTCAGCTTTGGTTTTATAAATTGAGCACGTCACCTTGTTAGCACTGTACATGTAGAAGTCGTGGTTAAATACAACATAATTATCCATATTGCACTATTAATGAAAATTTAATTTTAACACTAATATAACTCAGTGTACGATAAAAACAAGTTAGGTTTAAAATTCTACCATTATTTCTTCAAGTGGTTTTCTTTCTAGATCTGGAACTAGACAGTCTTTTGAAGGGTAACCCACAGGAAGTAATAAAGTCAGCTTTTCAGAAGAAGGTCTGCCCAAGAGAGTACGAATTGCTGGACCACAGTTAAGTGGAGTTGATGTCAACGAAACCAAACCTGCATACTGTGATAAATAAATTAAATATACAGATAATGAACTAATTTTGGTAATACTTACATGGACGGCCGTTAGTAAGATACCAGTCGCAATTGAAACACTTTGCTCGTTGTAGTAATGAAGTTTTTTCTTTTGATCTGCTCTGAAGCTATACATTTGTTTAAAAACCAAAATTAAACATGGAGCTTCTGTCAAATATTCTTTGACCCAGTTTGTTTTAAATGGTTTAAGATCTGTTGTCCACACTTTTCCCATTCTTTTTTTATAGTTAATTTCTTCTTCTTCCTCGATTATTTCTCTAATTTTTTGTTTCATTTCAAGTGAAGTAACAACAGCATAAGTCCATGGTTCCGTATGTGCACCGCTTGGAGCAGTTCCAGCTGTTTTAATGATATTTTTAATCACGTCCATGGGAACAGCTTCGGAACTAAAACTGCGAACAGTGCGACGTTGATTCATGAGTTCATAAAATTCCTTAGCTCTACGTAGTGTTTCGTCAGCAGGAAATTTCTTGTAGTTTAACGGAATATGTGGTAAGTTACTAGGAAGGGCAGGTGTAATGTCTTCGTCTGATTCATCGGATACTTCATTTGCAACTTCAGCAACTACAATAACATCATAACAGTATGTACAATTTATCAAGAAGGAAAATTAACTAAAATATGTACGGGTTGTACAAGACACAAAACAGGTATAATCCTACTCGAGTGAACCAAGTATTTTGTCAAGTAAAGAAAACAAAACTGTAAAGCTGGTAACAAATCTGCTGGTGACATAAAAAAAACAAACAATAATAAAATTGTTGTAACACAGAAGCGCAAAGAGATAATATGTACTAGTCAAAAATGTATTTTTCGCATGTAGTAGAAATGATTTCGATTTTACTTCACGGATTTGCATGCGGTTTTCACCAATAGATACAGTGATTCACGACGATGGCTTAGGTGTATAATTTATCAAGGTTTTGTATAAATTGGCCGAATTATGGTAAGAATTGTCGAGTCAGTCAGAAAAAACCATGCTTTCTGAGAGATGAAAGATTTAGAAATTAATTGACTTATTTCAGTAGATAGGATTGAATAAACAGTGTTTGTAATATATAGTTTCAGGTAATATTGAAATAAGTTAAATAATACATATATACAACTTCATTACGTCAGACAAATGATCAGGACATACATAGATGCTTAATACCACCCGTGCGAAGCCGGGCCGGGTTGTTAGTATTTAATAAAATCTAAAAATACTAGGTTCAAGTTTTTTAAAAAATATTTATTTAAGAATGTTAGAAAATTATTTTTGGAAAATCGTCCGATCATCTATTTTGACTTGTATCCCAATAAACTACTTGTGGATACCACCCCTGCAATAGAGGTTTTAGGGTAAATGTATCTACATTTATACTATGTTGGTTTTACTTTTTGACTTACTCTTACACAATTAGTTAATCAGTCAAGTAGATACATGCAGCGGTCTAAAAACAAAAATTTATTTACATTAACAAAAAAATGTGTAGAATTTCATGCATACTTTGTAACTAGGCTCACCTTACAAATTTATGATGATTATTAACAGTGTATAAATACACGAGAAAGAACGATTTTTCTAATCTGAAAATTTCAATTTAAGTAGTGAATCAAAATCAATAAGTTAATAATAGTATATCATACGCCAAGACAATCATTATATACCGAACTCAGATTAGAGCCCGAGACGCGAAGGGTCGAGGGTTATAAGTTGTATACTTATATATATATATATATACTTATAAACGTCAGGTCTATAATGCTCTTCACTACCATAGCGTACATACTATTTTTTTCACTAGTAGCGCACTACAAAACACAGATTTAAAAAAATTTCAATTTATTAAAAGTAACATAACAACATTGACATCACCTAACTAGGTTTTGATGTTTTCCGTCATTATTTTTGGACGTTTGAAAAGTTGGTTTGAATGAACTAATGAGGTTTTTAATTTCGAATTGTCAATTAATTGATGTTATTTTATTTAGGAAATATGTTAAACAGTGAACTATGTACCCCTGCCGAGATGCTGTTATGGCAGTTAGCACTTTTACATTTCTCGTGAAAATAATTTAAAAAATCTGGTAATAATGACCAATTTTCGTTTGCTAAGGCATTAGATAACCTCAATTTTTATTATAGACCTTGGTCCATAATAACTTCACTTCCATTATTAACCTTGGTCAAATTTAATTATCATTATTGACTTTGGTAGAAAAAAACGAATTCACTACTCACAGACAAGCATGATAATGGTGGATTTCTACGCTACTAGTAAAAAAAGAAACTTTATTTGTTTGTACATAAAATATTATAACGGTGTCGTTTGCATTTTCATTCTAGTGTTTAAATCTATTTTTGTCTATATTGAATAATAACTAATTTTTTTCTATTATTAGTAATAATAACACAACAGTAGTATGAAACAGCAAAACTAGGACCTATGCTTGATTGCATCTAACATAATATACAGTTAGTAACATTACACAAAACTGTGGCAGGTATTATACAAGATAAAAAATATGTGACGCTGGACTGAAAATTAAGGCCTTTTTCGAAAAAAAAATATTTCCAAGCTGGAATGTGGAATCTAATTTTATATTTTTGTGGATTTTCTAATGTTCACGTATCATGCATCCAAGCATAGAAAATCATCTTTACTGCCAGCCTACTTTTTAAAGTAATTTGGAATAAAACAAAATGCTAATAATTTACCAGTCGAGAATATTATTAGTTTAGTATAAAACTATAAGTAAAAGAGTTTAAACACATAAAATTAAGTTATTAGTTATTAGTTTTGTACTTCTTGTCCGTTTTGACGTATTTTTAAAACGTGTATAAATGTTTCCAACTCAAGTAACAAAATATTTAAATGCTTCAATATTTCTATAAAAGAAAAATTAATCGTACTCACAAATTTTTAACCAAACCAAAAATTTGGGAAGGTTTTTTTTGTTGTCAGCTTAATTGCTAAATGTTATTTTTTATAAAGGTTAAAACTCGTGACGTGATAACATACTTAAAATGGTGTCAAGATTTTAGAATGATTTTTTTTTTATATTTTTTCAGATAAACTAATGCGGAAAACATATTATTGCATACATGCTTCACTTATGTTCAGGTGTTTTTTTTTTGAAAAAAATAAATTAAAATGCAAATAATTTAAAAAAATACTTACTTTGATCGGGAGTTTTGAACTCATCATCCTTCTTTTGTTTACCATAAGAAACGGTTCCTTTTTTTCCAATATAGGCGTAAATTATTCGCGCTACGCCATATAAAACTAACCCAGTAACAAAATATTGCCAGTACAACTCAAAAAACATCTTGATCCACTATGAAATAACTTGTTCTGTGTTATCTGAACAGAAAGTAAGTTGGTGACCCCAATTATTGCAATATCACTGTTGAAACTGTGTAGAGGAATTATAACGTATCCAATTTAAACAAGTCTTGTTACGCATTGAGTCACAAGTGCAAAAAGTATTTAGTAAATTAATTCGGTGTGTGCATTGATCCAAACATACCCACCTAGATTACAGTGTACAATAAGTTTGAATATGATAAAAGGTGTGTTCTGTAACTGCGTGGAAGAAATAATCGATATTATGTGTTATCTAAAACATCTCGATTGTCATGTGTAGCTACCAACAAAACTTTACTAAACATATATTTTTATGTAAATTAAAGTATAGGTAAAAGCATAAAAAACGTAAAAACAACTATTTAAAAATTATTGAATTTGCTCAAAGTGGCTATGGTACAATGAATGATAAAAGAAAATCTTTGTAATTTACGAAGTCGAAGCCACAAATTTGATCATATTAGCATTGTTTGTTTAATTTTCCAGACTGGATGTGTGATTATTTCATTAACATTCCGAGGGTGGCAAAAATAACTCACTGAACATATGAAGAACATCAAAATTAGGTATATCACGTATATGACCGGCGTAATTTTTGCGGGGAGTCATAAATGGGCAAATTTTAATTAACAATTTACCATACTTACAACAACCTTAAAATAGTTGTAAGATTGTGCAGCATTCGATTTTGCAATTTCAAAGTTAAAATATAAAGTGTTATATAATTTTGATTTTTTTTAATCTGGATATCTGTGGTAAAAACTGAACACGGATTCATAAACCACAAGTGCTGGAGTACGTTATTTTATAAAATTTAAATAGCATTATGGTGGCGCACTTTGTATTAAAATTTCCCGCTGAAAAAAAATCAGCGGTGGCAAATTGCATTTAAATAATTTGAATTTGAAAAATAAATAAAGAAAATCGTTAAACAACAACAAACTTGGCAACCATGTGTTCAGTTTTGGTAGCGGAATGTGTTGGTAGTTAGTTGGTGAGGTGTTGGTGGCAATGCAAGGAAAGTAGACTGATTTTGGTTTTAGAATTTTAGATAATTTTTTTTTTTTTTATGTAAATGTTTATTGTCACATCAACCACGAAGGGTTATTAGTGACAAGGCGGTACAATAAAAGATGTATAATACAATGTGCAATCCTTAGATTAACTGCAGAAGGCCGGCTGCTGTGAGGAACTGCAAAAGCTTTTCTACAGCTGGGAGATCACCAAGAACTTCGGTAAGTGATGGTAGCAGTGACCAGCGGATGCGGTTCTGTTGAAATGTGGTACAGTGGAGTAGAATATGTTCCACTGCTGGTACTGACTTGCACTTCGTACACTGAGGTGGGACCTTATCGAGTGAGAACAGATAAGCATGAGCCAATCTGGAATGCCCAAGCCGGAGTCGGGAGATTAAGACTTGGCCCTGGCGAGTACTAGGTAGAGGCAACCGTGTTGTGACGTTGGGCTGGATTTTGCGTAGATGGGAGGGATGCGTGTCCCATTTGCGTTGCCAGGATGCTACAATGCGAGTTCGAAAGAGACTCTTAATATCCGTAGATGGGACAGCTATAAGAGGTTTCGAATTGACTGAAAGTATCGCTTCCTTAGCTAGGGTGTCTGCCATTTCATTGCCTGTTATGCCCATATGAGATGGTATATAGCAGAAGAGAATTTCTTTGCTCTGAAGTCGAAGTTGTTGAAACTGTTCTTGGATACGAACTACGAGTGGATTGACTGGAAACAACGCCTTGAAGGCTTGCAGTGCGCTCATGGAGTCCGTGAAGAGCACGAAGTGGAATCCTGGGAGGTTGACGATGTGGTTAAGGGCTTCCAGGATATTGTATAATTCCCCAGTCAACACGCTGCTGTAAGTTGGAAGTGAAAATTGGAGGACGTCGGTTGGGGTCTTCACCGCAGCGCCGACTCCCTGTGATGATTTAGATGCGTCCGTGAAGAGATGTGTGTGGTCCGGGAATTGTGATGTTAAAGCTCGATACTCTGCCTGAATGACGGAAGGTGGTGTGGTGTCTGTTTTGTAGATAGACATAGAGATATTGACTGGCAGTGGAGAATTGACCCATGGAGGATTCGAAGTAAAGGTTTGAGAAAGTGTCTGAGGAAAGCTGGGTAGGTCGAGCTGTTGAAGATCACTACGTAGTCTTTTGTTGAAAGGATTTTGAAGGGCTGGGTCAATTGGTGATTCCAAGATTGGTCGTCTAAGAGGATTGTTCGGGTTTCTAGCGATGTGGACCACATAACTGAGGCGAAGATAATGGAAACGATCAATGAGAGGGAATTCATTTGCTAAGCAATGTAAGCTAGAAACCGGTGACGTTCGAAATGCGCCGAACGCAAGTCTAAGAGCAGTGTTCTGAATCGTACAAATAGGGCCAAGGTACGATTTTTTGCAGGTGGAGTACACAACTGCACCATAGTCGATCCTTGATCTTATTATCATTTTGTAAACTTGGAGAAGTGTCAGCTCCCCAGCTGTGATGGGCTAAGATCTTTAAGAGGTCAAGCAGTTTGGAACAGGTTCGTTTGAGAAAATTAAGGTGTGGCTTCCAAGTCAAATGTTGGTCAAAAATTTATTTTCTTCTAGATACTCTAAGTTGACATTTCCCAGTTTTAGAGTTGGTTTTTCTTGAACTTGTCGTTTAGTGAACAACATACACTTGGATTTAGTGGTGGAAAATCTGAGGCCTGTCGTTGCTGACCAGTCTTCTAGATCTTGTAGGGAGCTCTGCAGAAGGTTACGCATCGACGCTAGGTCTTTCCCTTTAGTGAATATCACTAGATCATCGGCGAAGAGGTGGGCTTTAATTGGTGGAGAAATTTTTTGAAAGATATTATTGATGGTTAACAGGAAAAGCGTGACACTGATAACAGAGCCTTGTGGTATTCCATTTTGAAGCATCTTGACAGAAGAGACGGTGTTGTTATTGCGAACAGTGAAACTGCGGTCTTGAAGGAAGTTATTGACATAGTGAGCAATATTGCCCGTAAATCCAAGGTTGACCAGGCTTCTAAGGATGTTATCCCTCCAGGTCATGTCGTACGCTTTCTCGATGTCGAAGAAAATTGCCAACACTTTCTGCTTGTTTGTGAATTCTGTGGATATTTCAGACTCTAGATGAGCGATGCTGTCCATTGTGAATCGGTATTGTCGAAAACCGCTCTGGCATGGATGTAGGAGTCCCTCTTTTTCGAGATACCAACGGAGGCGACGATTCACAATTTTTTCAAGCAATTTACAAGTGCTACTAGTCAATGATATGGGCCGGTAGGAGTTGACATCACTTTTGGGCTTTTGCGGTTTTACGAAAGGTAATATAATCGCTTGAGACCAGATGTGCGGAAACTGGCGAGTTTGCCAGACTTGATTGAAGATTTTCAAGATAATTTGCTTTCCAAGTGGAGAAAGATATTTGAGGAAGACGATAGGGATATCATCAGGGCCTGGAGAGGAATTTCGAGTGGTAGCTAATGCTTCATCTAGTTCTAGGAGTGAGAGCGGAGCGTTAATAGGATGAGTTTCTAGATCGTCTAGTAAGAGTGGCTGCGATTCAATTTGTTTTTTCAGTTGGCAAAATCTCGGGTCGTAATTTGAATCTTGAGAAGACATTTCAAATTTTTCGGCGAATAGTTCGACCAGTTCTTGTTCATCTCTGGTGAGCGTATTGTGGTGTAATAACGCTTGCGGTGTTTGGTACGAGGCGATTCCTTTAAGTCTATTGATCTTATTCCACAAAGTTTTTGGCGGCGTCCTAGGAGTTAGCGTAGATACGAAGGTATTCCAAGATGATTTTTTGCTCTGCTTCATACAATATCTCGCCTTAGCTCTATATTTCTTAAACTCGACTAAATGTTCAACTGTTGGGCGTCTTTTCCGTTGATTGTATGCTCTCTTACTTTTTTTTATCGCCTCTTTACATTCAGGGTTCCACCAAGCTACCTGTTTATGGGGCCCACTGGATGTAATCTTCCCTATAGATTTAGAGACCGCATCAAGCAAAATCGCATTGAACTGGTGGATAGTAGTGTTGATATCACTACTTGGCTGAAACGAATCCAGTGCATTAGTTGTATCATCCATGTACTTACTCCAATCTGCTTGTGGTAGATTCCACATCGATCTGGCAGAGGAGGTGTGTGACATTTGCTGCTCTAAGTCGTTATCTATACGAATAGGGAAATGATCACTGTCATGCAGGTCGGGAAAAGGTGACCATGTGAAAAAGGCAAGTAACTGAGGGTCACATAAACTTAAGTCGATGGCTGACATACTGCCAGATGCCAAGTTCACTCTTGTAGGCTGTCCGTTATTAAGGAGACATAAGTTACATAAGTCAATGAATTTTTCAACTTCAGTTCCACTTCGAGTAGTACTGCTGGACCCCCACAAGGTATTGTGCGCATTAAAATCCCCAACTATGAGACACGGCTGAGGGAGTTGTTGATAGAGATCGCAGAGTTCTTGACTAGTAAGTAACTTCGAAGAAGGAATGTAGACATTGCATATTGTAAATTTTTGTTTCATGTGTACCACCACCGCCACTGCTTCTATTTCTGTAGTCAGCTGGATTTCGTAGGACGGGAAGCTGGTTTCAACGTATGTGGCGACTCCTCCGCTAGCTATAATAGACGTTGTTCTGTTTTTATGATAAGTGGCATAATTGTTCATGTCGTAGCGCTTATTATCTTTTAGATTAGTTTCCTGGAGGCAAATAATAGAAGGTCGAGTTTGAGTAGTTAAAACTTGCAGATACGGTAGTCGGGCATATAGCCCATTGAGGTTCCATTGCAGGATGAATTTTAAAATAAACTTTGTTGGGACGACGAATCAGAATCGTCGTCCGTTTTAAATGACTCTGCAGAAAGGCCCAGTTGATTTTTAAGCCTTTTCTGGATCCGAGTAAAACGATTTTTCATACTTCGATTGTCAAGGGTGGGGTATAGGTCATATAGCATATTAAGAAGGCCCCTAATGTCATCCGTATAATCCTTTGAAACTGATAGTGGGTCAGAATTTCCAGAGACATTGGTCATAAAGTCGCAGAATTGAATGAAATTGAGCACATAGTGGTTATTATCATTGTCGAACA